AAAACGATGGCTCGTCCGATACGGTAATCGTGCACCGATTACCCGTTCGATAAAATTCTCCATAATTTAATCCCTTTTTCCCCTTGGTTAATTCATGCCACATGTCCACTTGTGCTCCCACTGGAATCGTCGCTCGATTCACAAGTAACGAACGTAGATGAGCTCTCAAGTACACGAATACGCAAGGCATAGCTGTTGGACCATTTGGGTAGAAAATGAACGTCTTTCAGGAAGAAATGAAAATGCTCGAGCCTCTATTGGAGGCGGGAGCCGAATCCGACAGAAGTCCTTCGGCCACGTGTGTGACGTTCACGAAATTAACAAAAGTACTTGGAGCTCTCGTTGCGTCACAAGGAGCTGTAGAGTTCCCGGAAGTGTCCAGGAAGTGCAAGTATATTTTTTTACTTTGCATAATGAGGGGGGGGGAGGGCCTTCAGAGCCCGAAGGTCACCGACAGACGAAGACTCGTGACCTTCCGCATTGCCTCGCTGCGTTTCACGTGATAATCCAGCTGTTCCATAAATCTTTATTCTTACACAGTATCGATATCTTGAAAATCCTTGAAGCAAAAACTGCAGCGACTAAAAGTTAGAAAGCGAAAGTTTGGCCCGTTAGGAAGAATTGTGTCAATAAGCAAGACGCTTTGAGAGGTTTAGAAAGTGAGGAGAGCGATCGAAGCACTTTGGGCGTCTTGAAATAAAGAACTTGCAATACACGGTGCACGCGGGTGCGGAGAAGCGACGGCTGGTGGGAGCGTCGCGACGCTACTCGAGTTTTGCGAACTCTACTTAGGACAGTAAGGAACACGTGCGTTCTGGAAAATTTATCGACGTTGCTCGACTGCCGGAGGAAATTGGCTTATATACGCTGTGCTCGTTGCATCATCGACCAAAGACTCAGGCGGGCGTAATCGGGCGTAATCGGGCCCAGCCGGAAGTGCGCACCACCATTTACGAAAGGTTCGGCAAAGTTTTGTTTAATTCGTGAAAATTCACTGGGGCCGTCACTCGCAAATGCCATTAGACCAAATCCAATTGAGCAGCAGCGGACAACTTAACTGCACCAGACTGTACTGTGCTCCCCGTACATGTCGAACGCGAAGGGTTTCCTTTATAACGGATTATGAAGTCTCCCCGAAAAAATACAAAAAAAAAAGAAAAAAAAAAGAAAGAACGATACGGTTCGTTAATACCGCTGACGTCATTCTAGCCTTCTCTTTTCTTTTTATCTCCCTCTCTCTCTTACCCTCTCTTCTCTCCTCCGCTTCGCTTTCGACTTCCTACGAACGCAGGAGCCAAATCCCACCGAACGGTCCGATCCAAGTGAGAATAAATGGAATTCACCTACATGCAAATTTACACAATCGGGAAGTTGGGTTGGCTTAGGTTAGGTTTGTGTATCACTTTGTTCCGTTAGGCCTTCTATTGACGGCGAAGACTTTACTTTCGAAAATCGTTGACTTTCAGCGACAAACCTACCTTTCGAATGACGGTGAGTCAGGGGTCATTCAACTCATGAAAAATTTATTAGAATTCGGCGGTGATCATTCGTCAAAAAGAAACGAAAAGAAAAGCGTAACAAAAAAATATGATAATTGATAGTCGAGAGCCGCCGCCATAATTGTCACGGTCGAATGTTCTCCAGGCGCAAGTGAGATTCTATTGTGCAAGCTGCCCAGTTACTACTTTAGTTTTCGGATTTATCCTTAACCTATGTGAATCTATTCTAATCGAGCGACGTTAAGCACCGACTGGGGGCGGCGGGACGACGAGGCTGGTTTTTGGTGATTCCGATGCTTCCGGTGCTTCCGGTGCTTCCGGTGCTCCTGGTACCTACTCGTACGATGCCTCGACCTCGAGGTATTTTTCCTGCTTTCGTAGGAAAAAACAATCATCTCTTTTAATTTCAGCTAATTCCTATGAAATTCGTTTTACCAAAAATCTCAAGCCTGTTTCACAAGCACCGCACTTCCTATCCTACCGTTAAACTAAGCGCTGTGTATAGTTATTAATAGATTTCAGGATTCGTTAAAGATTTTTGACTGTGCTAAAAATAAGGAAGAAAACGTAATTCCAACATGGAAACAAAATATTGTTAACGAACTAGACCAAAATATTAAACGATCGCGATTGCCGTTGATCTAAAAAGAAATAATCTTTTCTCCATCGCTTCGCTCGATCACCCATTGACTTTCTTAAAAAAAAAAAAGAACAATAATTACGTCAGTCATGCCCACGGGGAAGAGGTCAAAAATGAATTTGGTAAATTTTTGCAAAAAAAAAATCGAACCCACGTTTCCTTTTCTTTCTTGGCAAAAGTTCCCTCCCGCAAGACTCCTCGTTCTTCATTTCTCATTCGAAACAGAGATTTCGCATAATCAAAAGCTCTCACGTGGACGCCGCTTAATTAGCAATTAAATTCCGATTGACCGACACGTGGAAAAGTCCAAGGGGAAGATGCAGCCTCGACGCGCTGCTTCATTTATTATTGTTTTCCAGCGAGTATTCTTCCGGCGGCCCTGGTCGCTCAATAAAACTGACCTATCCCAAGGGTCTCTGTGGCTCAATCTAATTCTGATCTAACAAAGCCGGCAGCGTTGCTCTTATCTAACGGAGTAGCGAAGTAGCGGAGTAACAAAGTAACGGACGGAAAAAGAACTCCGGAGCGGCTGTACCGGAATCCTTTCACTCACGCTCGCAGCTTATCGACGGATTAACGATCTCCTTGGGAGAGCAATTACCAGATTGGCAATAGGACACGCTGCGTGGACACGCACGTGCGCATCCGCTTCGGCCCTCCTCTCCCCTAGCACCCCTTTCGCAGATTTCGTTCTTCCGCTCGTTTTGCTTTTTTACGCGAGTCCGACTTCCTGGCGTGATGCTGCGTTCGGGCGAACCTCACGTCTTCGACGGGGTCGCGTTTCCTTCGAAGGACCGAAGGACTTTTCGCGCGACTCCCGACGAAAACTCATGCTTGGCTATTAAATCGTAGGTGGCTGTGCGCGGGCCGTGAGTCCGTGTTACGTAATATAAATTGTCGAAAGCAGAACAAAAAATCTTAAAAAATCAGCCGGACTGAATTCAATGACCAAACGTAACCGTACCGCCAAATGACGGTTGTTCCTTGTCATTGAACGCTCCAGTGATTTCTCCTCGGGCTGCCAGCGAGTGTCTAGCGAACGGCGCTCGGAGCTGCTGGAGCAGCGACCTAGGTCAATCCTGCCGATTCCCTTCGGCTCTTTCACTCGCAATCAGTATCAGGCACTCCGATATCCGCACTGCTGTCGGACTAAATCCTCTAATGAGCTTTCACGCTTCCGACTTCCGGTTCTTCGATCGCCGCTCGCCCATTCACTCTGCCGTTCGACGTGAATGACCTGTAGAAACGAGGATACGCCTCATTTCGCAGATATTACACTGTAATTATTAAACTTTCGTCTCACTCTAGGAGTCGATGGACCACTTTATCGTAGCTCGGTATCGTTTGCTCAATCAGAGCCAATCCCAATCCCGTTGGCTACACACGCGCGCGCACACGCACGCAGGTTGATGACTTTGTATCCTGAAACCCGTCTCGGCGTCTTTTCAAACGGAAGATTGGCATGACTCGGCGAAACGAGATCCTGCGCCATCCTAACCTAACCTAACCTAACCTAGCCCAACGTTCAGTTGGGTCGCCTATGATATCAGCCAACTCGGGACTTCTCGAGCAAGAAGCAGTAGAAAGACGTGCGACGTGCGTTGACCTTTGCTAGTAGAAAATTGCCATTTCCCTGTCGTTAAAGGGCCCAATTCTCAGGCCCGTGTATATTTGATGGCCCGAACCTCGAGCTCAGATTTAAGTAACAACGAACGTTTCGCGCGACGTGTCCATTTTTCCTCGGCCAATACCTTTTACGGATATTTCAAATGGCATCGTTATTCAAAGCGTTTCGCTCGGAACTGGCAACGTTGCTCAAGTTTTACGTTATTCCTACGCTCGAAAGGAACCAATGGCCTTCGACAAAAAATTCTATACTGTTCGATTAGAAAGATCAACGGACGTAAAAAAGAAATCAGGCAAACGGACCATCGATCAATCAGCAAAATTGACTTTTGAAACTATCTATAGTTATACGTGAGAAGGACAAGGGGGGAAGTATAGTGTGTGTAGCAGAGAATATGGGATAAATTCCTACATAGAAATTTGACAGATTTTTCTCATAATCCAGTGAAAACTGTTCTCTCTCGATCGATAAAATGCGCAGCTGTCTTCACTAACTGATTTCCAAATATTCAATTTGCCCTGCTCTGTATCTCTGTAGCTCTGTATCCCTTTGTGGCTTCTCACTCTCTCTCGCATCCTTTCAGCCTGTTACTGTACCCGCAAGCTCGTGTTATCTGCAGGTGCTATTCTCATGCTGAGTGCATTCTGGACCAAAAACGAAAAAATGTAAAACACATGAGAAGTGCGTAAAGTGTACGTGTCGACTCGCGCCATTAGGAATCTTTGATTCTTTCACCCCGGAAGGTTTGCGAAGAGGGGGGGGGGGTCTTGACTGACATCAGACACGCAACGTATCAGAAGGTAGCGATGCGTGCCGCGTACGCATTGCGTGGCGCAGGAGGAGTCAACTACGAAACGTGGTGCGTGGAACGAATTGCAATGGAATTGTTATGGATAATCCAACGTCGCTTTGAATCTCGATAATAGTTTGTTCTGCAATTTCGAAAAGTCGGATCCGCTTTCGAAAGTTACGCCACCGCGAATCGGACGTTCTTTGAGCTCCTTGTACTTCGTGAGGAAATCGATGCGCGCCAGAGCCAACGGACGTGGCCGATTGACATCCAGTATTTCGGGTGTAAACTGAGACTCGATTAGCTTTTTCCGAGATTCCTCGGTGATCGTAAAAATGCTTCCCTTCTTCCATGTCTCTTCAAGTTTTTATTTACGGTTGAGAAGCATCGAGAAAAGGCATATTTTATACTTATCGATTTGGTGTTTTCTTTTTCTTGTTTCAGGATAACGAGCCGCTGACTACTTTTGCTCACCTGTCGGACTACTACATATACAGGATTCCGAACGCAAAGCGATACTTCGACGCCCCCTTCGAGTGGGGTGCGTGCCTCAGTCCCTCGAGTAACGCCGAGGCCCAGGAAACCGACGCTGCAGACTGCGGCTTCAAGATCATATCGTTCCAGAGCGAGAAGTCACGTGCCTGTTGGCTCACAGCCATGAGGCTCGCAAAGGTAACTGAATATCCTCCGATAGTCTGCGATAGACTTTCGGGAAAGGCGGGGAATTCAAATTCTTCCCGGATCCCAATGTTCCCAATCGGCAGCAGCTTCCTGAAGAATTTGCCTTATGAGAGGCATAAATAGGAGAGGCTCGATAAGCTGTAGCATAACTAATCGCGACCAAAGACACGGAGAGGGTGCTTTTCGGGAGTGGCAAGGATGATGAGGTGGCTATAGGCCAGTCCCATCCATGCATGAGATGCATGCATCCTCTATTATGCAACTCTTTAGGGGTCTATTCTTTGGCGAAGTGGAACCTCAGACCACTCTCGAGTAGCGTGCTCTCGTGGTCTCTAGTGGAGCCCTATTCTCCTCCCTTACCTACCGCTGCCATCTTCCACCCTCGTACCTCGCGGCGCCACCCTGTTACGTGCACTCAAAAAGTAGCCCGATATACATAGCCAGTACCCCAGCTTCAAAGCTCAAAGCGATGTCTGGGTTCAGTTGTGCTGAGCCTTGCTTGCTTAACTCAGCTACCCTCTGCTACCCTCTGCTTCCCTCTGGTCCTTCTCTTTAGTGTCCGCATCCTTTCTTCGGGTCCCACTTCATCCCCTGCGCCACAGGCCAGCCTCCCTCCCCCAGCGCAGCCTGCAGCTCCTACAGCTCCTACAGCTCCTACTTGGCCGAACCTTTCCAGCTCTTTCATCCGTCAAGGAAGAAAGAGACAAAGAGCTAAACTTTGAGTCTGTCTCTTGTTTCTTCCTTCCGCTTCTCTTTCGCATAGCTTTTACGTCTTTGCCGCAATTTCCTTACTCGCTCTTTCTTTAATCCTGCTTGGTTCTTCATATTTTTAAATAAATTCACATCGGCGTCTCTTACGCCGTTAGCTAAATCTTGAAGTACTGACAAATTTTCATGCGTTAAACTGCAAAAGCTGCCGAGACATCCGGGACACCCTTACGTCGATTCGTGACGCTGATTAATTAAGGCCGGAATCGATTTCACACCTGACGGGCTGTTGATAACCATCTGTCTAAGGCAGGAGGCGTTCCTTACGATTTCCCTTGTTTCGGCTGTCGTTCCGTCAGGCACCGGAAATTAACAGGTCTGGATAATTGTCATTTACATTCGTGCGACGTGATACATTTTCCCGGCATTGTCGTCAGTCCATATTACTTTTGGCATTC